CTCCTTCTTAGAAGGACTTTTGTGACGATATTGGGTCCAGGAGGTCAACCCAGGAAAACATCCCCATCCAAAACTCTTAACTTACATCTGCAGAGGCCCTCGTGCCATGGAACGTAACATATTCCCAGCTCCAGGGATCAGGAACACTCTGGGGACAGGCTTCCGTCTAGCACAAATCCATTACAAATGCAGGCAACACACCACAACAGTGTTAGCAGAACTTGTGACTTTGTCACCAAAAAAAAAAATCACAGACATTTCCTATCACGTTATCTTCCAGCAGGCACCTTGAAATATCATTTATTCTCATCTCTGCTTCCAAGTTACAGTGGTTATTAAAGCTGCCACGGGTGATTTTTTACTTCATGCATTAATGAAGAAGCACATGAATTGCTATGTCACAGTGTGAAAAAATATTTTGATCACTGTATTACAATCAGAGTTGGATTCCTTTGTCCTGCGCGTGTTCTTTCATTCTGAGAAGAGTCCGTAGGCTTTTCAAGGCTGCCATCAGGTCCGGTGGGTGAAGATGGTGAGGGAGCCCTGCCCCGGGGACTGTGGAGCACAGAACTGCCAGGAACCAGGGCCCCTGGATGACTGGGTGGGGCCATCCTACCAGGGGGAGCGCTCACCTTGAGAGGAGGAGCTGGTGGAGAATGACACTCTTTGGTTTGTAATCCATGGTCACTGTATTTGGGGGACTCTTTGTTCCAGCAGTTCAGCCAACTGTACTCAGCAGGGATCCCTGATCCAAGTTGTCCTCCTCATTTGTGGGGGCCGATCCAGGGTTAGTGAGACCTCATGTTTGCTTATACGATTCAGGGGCTTCTTGGAAAGAGAATGGGCTGGACCCAGTGGCTCAAGCCTGTAATCCCAGTTCCAGGAGGGGCTGGGGTGGGTGGAGGATGGTGCTGAAGAGAGAGAATCACTTGAGCCCAGGAGTTGGAGGCTGCAGTGAGATGTGATCACACAAAAGACAGAATCTTGCTATGTTGCTCAGGCTGGTCGGGAACTCCTGACCTCAAGCAATCCTCCCATCTCAGCTTCTGCAAGTAGCTGGGATTATGGACTTGCACCACCATGCCCAGCCAATTCTTTAATTTTTTGCACAGACAGGATCTTGCTATGTTGCCCAGGCTGGTCTGGGCTCAAGTGATCCTCCTACCTCAGTCACCCAAAGTGCTGTGATTACAGGCTTGAGCAACCGCATCCAGGCTCTAAATTAATTTTAAAGATGCTTCATTTCACCCAATACATCCAGCATGCTATCATTTCAACATCTAATGAATATATAAATTACAATCCAGATGTGTTACATTATTTTTTCCCTACAGTAAATCTTCAAATTCTGGGGTTTGTTTTAGACTCACTGCACAAATTAGGTTGCACCACGTACATTCTGGGTGCTCGACAGTGACAATGTGGCCTGGGGACCCCAGTGGATAGCACAGCCCTCAATGAACCTGCCGTTCTAGATGTCTCACCATGGATGCTAATGAAAGTTCTTATTACCAAGGCGTTTCTAGCTCCTGTTACTTTACTTATAGCACAATGCATTCTAAATGATCCCTCATACACTCTCAGGTAGACCAGACACACACACAATCTGTAACTACAATGACACACAATCAGAAGCACAATCATACATACACTGTAGGAGGCCGAAGATGCCACCCCCAAAACACCCAGCACCGCATCCCTGGACCCTGTGCATATCTTATGTGACTCGGCAAAGGAGCTTTTCAGATACGACAATGGCGTGTGGACTGACACTGGGGAGATCACCCTGGATGCCAATCTAATCACCTGAGCCCTGAAACGTGGAAGACTTTCTCTAGCTGGAAGCACAAGAGAAATGTGGCAGGAGAGGTCAGAGAGGTTCCAAGCATGAGAAAGGTTTGAGGCACTGTTGCTGGCTCTGAGTTGGAAGGGCCCATGGGCAGGGACCACGGAGAGCCAGAGAAGCATGGATGGAGAAATTTCAGGGCAGTGAAATTATTCTGTCTTTCACTGTCATGAGGGATAGAATACATTATGTATTATGCCTCAGATCTCAGGTCCTGGGGAAGAAGCGGGAGCGGCACCTGCAGTCCATCCGCAGGAGTGACTCTTCCTGGAGAGCAAGGGCACAGGTTAGCCCCCAGCAGAAGGGGTGGAGGTTAGACCACTCCGGTGAGATTAGAGGATGGCTGATAACAGGATAGTGGAGGTTAACTCCCAGGAGGATGTTAGAGGACCCTCTGCTGCAGGAGGACACGAATCAGCCCCTAGAGTAGGAGCACGAGATAGCCCACTGCAGCGAGGGTGGAGGTTAGCCCAGTGAGAGGAGTGGAGGTCCCTTTCAGCAGAGTCAGCTCAGGATGGACCCACAGACAGGAGGAGGCAGGAACCTTAGTCCTACAGCAGCAAGGAACAGTGATCTGCCGACAATGTGACTGACCCTGGAACGAGTTTCTCTTCAGAGCCCCCAGTAAGAGGCCAGCAGCAATGCTTGGATTCCAGCCTGTGAGTCCCACAGGAGAGAAAGTGGCCAGGCCCAGCGAGCCTCTGACCTGTAGACTCCCAGCTCATCAAGTGTGTCTTTGGAAGATGCTACTTTTAGCGTTGTTATGGCAGCAACGCAAAAGAAATACACACCAACACACACACAGTCCCACGTCATGGGTGTCTTTTCCTCATTGTTTATTTCAACAAGGGTTATAAAAAGTAGAAAAATAAACATTTTCCTGGAGGTGAGTTGGGTTTATACCCACAAATACATAAATAGCGACTGGGTGGCAATAACTTAAGACAAGCGGTTAATTTATAAATAAAATCTCAGATTGCATGACTAGTGGGAGAGTCAAACACACAGGTCCCCGCTGGCAACACATTTCAGGTCCCGCGTGAGGAGGCGGAAGAGGTTGAAGGTGACAGAGGCCTCGAGGCAGCCAGGGGACTCCTGTAGGGAGGAGGGGATGGGTCAGGGGCTGTCCAGGGTCTGAGCTCCTAGTGGCTCCCCAAACCCCAGTCCCTCTCTTCCCGGGTCACTCACCTTTTTTGGGGCCTCCTGGAGCCGGTGCAGCCAGTGGTGGAGGCGGCCCCGGGGCCTGGGCCCTGCTGTCGGCTGCGGCTGGATCTGTGGACAGAGGAGAGCCATGTGTGAGGCGGGGCCTGGGCCACCACAGGGGAAGGACGCTGCTCAGAGCCCACAGACCTGGGTGCCCGGGCCCCGAGGACTCACACAGGCCCGGAGCTGGGAGAGGATGTGGTGCAGGGTGTGAAGGGGCTGGTCCAAGACATCCACCAGGGCCGAGTCAGTGTCAGCGGCAGCCTCCAGAACCTTCAGCGTCAGGGCCAGCTCAGCCTCCAAAGCCACGGGGCGCTCCCTCACCTGAGGAGAGGTGAGAAAGA